AAAAGGATAGATTGATGATTTCAATGTGTAAAAACACTGATCTCCATTACTCTAAGAAGTCTAGTAAATGTTTTAGCTTTCAGAAGGTGCAAGGTACGCTTACATGACTGATGAGAGACTATGTACCTGTGTACTCACTCTTCATGACAAGCCATTAGCAGTAGTTGAAACATAACATCGCTATTCACAGTAAAACTATATGAACTATTTCAGAAAACGATGTAGACATGTTATCTTCTCCTTTGGCCTTGAGGATTCTAAGTGAGGACTTGTCTTGTGAAGCAGTTGGGTGATTTCCACAAATTGTGTGTGTCATATTCACTTCCAACGCTTCTTCGTGATTTATTCTTCTACTGTAATCTGGTTTATTTTCTCTTAGAATAGTAGGTTGTTGCTGATAGTGTCTGGTCAACAAATCCCCTTAATCAATCATTGTTAGACTACCATTAAAAACCTGCAAGCACTGGACTTCCGTTTCGTCTACTTCAGTAAAATCATAACACTGGCCATATGTTAAAACCACAGCATGAACAGTAAAGCTTGAAACTGCGGTACAACAACACAAGTACCTGATACCCTGATCGATCATTCACACCATTTATATATACACTAGTACATATATATATAGTGATTATTTCCGATCCATGAACATGTCAATCAATACGCACAACATGAACAGGCCAATTTGATCCATCTCGCTTACATGACTGTCACAAACTCATTATTATTATTAGTAATAGTGATATGCCATAATACAGCACCCCAATGATAATAGCCCTCGAGAATGTTATGAAACAACCATTACTAGTAATCAATGAAATCGATCAGTCACCCAGCAGACCAAACTTACATATGGACTATTCACAAAACATGCCAAAGTAATGCCAACCCAGTCACAATGTTCATTATAATGAATCTCTGATCTCATAAGAAGGAAACTTTCATCTCTATATATATCAGTATAGCTAATTGCATAAGGATAGATTAGATTGGAGAACACTGATCGTGTTGGCCCCTGCTCCATTGGGAGCACCAGGCGTAAGTAAATAAGTAAATAAGTATGTAAGTTAATGGAATAGGATAGTATGAGTCAGTCAGTCAGTCAGTTAGTTGCAACATAGAACTTCGTATGTATGTACATAAGTTGAGGTTGCCATACCACATTAGCACACAGAGACGCAAATGTCAAATCAAATCCCATAGTGATAAAGATAGTAGAGGTATTAATGGAAATGAAGAAGACTAGGGTTTGAAGATATTATATTCACGAAGTATAATTCTGTGAGATAAGGTTAGAAAGACAAAAGTAGAGGTGTTGACGAATCCAGAAGATTAGGATTTAAGAGAGTACAACGAATGGATGCATTTGCGCAATTGCAAGCGATTTTGTGCCATATCGTTCAAGCTCTCTAACTATTGGTGACTATCGTCCAACAGAACCCCCAACCAAGGTAGCCTACATCTACCAACATGACTCAGTCCACTTGTCAGTGACTTTTCATGGATTTCTGCCATGCTTTGATCTGGCCCCCAGGATGCAGGCCAGATTGATGTAAATCAGCTCCAACATTACGCTTATATTAGCTTTTGTTTCATGTCGGATAATGGATTTGCATTTTTTCCTATGTTTAGCACTATTTCCACACCAAAAAATCATAATAACACTTCACATTGACCTAGTTTTGTTTCGATTGGTTTTATATTTATGGATGTCACTTTAGAACAATTTAAGTTTAACCTATATTTTCTCGCTTAATTATATCGTGTTTATAAAACAGTTTTTTAAAATTGTCAAGTAAATTTAAACTGTACAAAGTTTTCTGTCAAATTTTTCGCACTCAATCAAAGAAATAGTAACTCTTGAACTTTTCAATACAAATGTTAAGACAGTTCTACTCTATGTGGTGAAAACTTGGAGAACCGCGAAAGCCACCCATCCAAAAGATATATGTATTGATTAACATTTGTCTAAGTAAAATACTCCCGATTCATTGGCCAGACACCATGTTACGAATGTACGTAAACGTGTCATTTTGAACTATTACGAGTTTATTTTAGTCGAGAAACGAGAGCGAGGATTGAGGATCCGGCGACACGACATGCTACTCTCATCCGAGTGTCCCAACCCTCCATTGATTAGAAGAAGACTTGATTTGAAGTAGAACGTGTATTCTAAAAGCATCCAGAAAGTACGAGGTTCAAGTCCAGAAGAGAATCAGGATCCCGGACTAAGGATCTGGGTCATAATACGTTACAGACGACCAATAGGAAACAACATAGAAGTATGTGACATTGACAGTTAGGATGACCATAATATTGACCAGTATGAAATTGACCAATAGAACTAGACTTCCAAAAATAATAATTCTCTTAGGGTTGTTTGATGAATATCCTAACACACCATCAACAACAACCTACTCTAGGAGAGAACAAAACAGATTCTAGTAGAGGAAGAAATCAGGGAGAAGCGCTGGAAGTGGATATGACACACCTTAATGAAAGCACCCAACTGAGTCACATGACAAGTCCTCACTTGGAATCCTCAAGGTCAAAGAAGAAGATGAAGGCCTAGGCAAACATTACTCCGGGAATTGGAGGCAGACATGAAACGAATGAAGAGCAGTTGTATGGAACTAGAATTCTGGTCGGTGGCCTATGCTCCGTTAGGGGTAACAAGCGTGAGTAAGTAAGTATGTTATAACAATCTAGAGTTTTAATATTCTTGGTTAACCAACAAGTCTGCTGCACATGCACACCGCTGCTTTTTAAGCAACACAAGGATTCTCACAAAAGCCAATACTGCGATCACCTCTGCCCTATACGGGAACGCACATACTGTCTAGATTGGTCTGTAGACAAGTTGGACATCTAAAAAGCACGCACACGAGCAGTGGCCCCCGTTTGGGCACTTATGAATCAACAAGATGCCTCCAACCAATCCACTACCCACAATCCCCAATCGGTAATATGGTTGTTGCTGTTAGATGAATATACTTGTAAATTGTACATGCTGACTAAATTCCCACCATAGGCTGTGTAACAAATATATGGTGAATCCATAACTCAAGGCTTTACTATCAAAATCTCTCTCTCGACTTACATGTTCTCAAGTTCTCAAATATCAATAAATCATTATTAGTAAACTACTCTTTCTTTAATAAAACAAATAACATTCTTTGGAAAAAAAATTCACATTCAACCTACAATGGAAATCTTCAATAGTGAACACTTAAAACATTTTAAATTTTGCATTGAACACTGAACTATTAAAAATCAATGAAACTAAATCGAACTATACATTTTAAACTCCAGTAAATGCGCTATATAACGTGACCATAACTCAATACTAATGATAAAAACTGTTTTACACGTGGAAATCATCAATCAGTCATCATTAGACCACTATTAGAAACTCGTCCTAGTATTATGGGACAAGGGTCCAGAGGTAAGGCTTTGGCGCATAACACTGAAGGTCGTTGGTTCGACTCCTACAAGTAGCAAGAGTCGTGGGTGCGCAGTGCCAATGGTGAGTAGTTCCAGACCAAGGACGAAACGGCCGTCTTTCAGTGCTTCCAGGTTTCTAATGGTGGTCTAACATTGATCGATTCATGGTTACAAATAAAACTTAACAATCTTCACAACCCCGTAATACAAATTACCTATGCTCACTAGTGACGACGACTAGCTTGGTGAGGAATCTTCTCCGAGTTCTAGTGGGAAGTCCATGACCAGTGAAGTTCAACCTGTTCGGGTGTAGACAGTAACTACTACCGAAGACTGTGGTGTATGAGGTTGCGCAACTCCGTGAATTGATCGAAAGTTAGACATTAACACCGTTAGATACCGGCTCAGTGGTCCGGTGATTAGTCGTTCGCCTACAATACCGAAGGTCCTGAGTTCGAATCCTGCTGGATGCAGGAGTCGTGGATGCGCACTGCTACTGATGAGTCCCAGACCAAGGACGAAATGGCTGTCCAGTGCTTGTAGGTTTTCTATCGGTAGTCGTCTAACAATGATTGACTTATGATTTCAATGTACAACAAACACTATTCTTCGTAACTCTCATTGACAACAGTCAGTCAGTCAGATGCAACGTAGAACTTTGTACATAAGTACATCAGTTCATGTTGCTATACCACATGAGCACAGAGAGATATAATTGTCAATTCAAATCCAATAGTAGAAGAGGTAGTTAAGGTATTAGAAGTAATCGGAGAGGTTAGGATTAGAAGATATTATTCAAGAAGTATGATTCAGTGCGATAAGTTTAGAAAGTCAAAACTAGAGGGGTTGAAGAACCCAGAAGATTAGGATTTGAGAGAACACAAAGAATAAATGCACCGACGCCATTGCAAACGATTTTGAGCCATGTCATTCAGGGTCACTAACCATCGATTATAATCATCTCGCGGACCCCAACCAGGTAGTCGAAAATTACCGACATGACTCAGTCCACTTGTCAATGACTTCATGGATGTGTGCCATGTTTTAGTTTGGCCGCCCCTAACTTTCTTCCAACCTACTCCTACACTACAAAACAAAGCTTGGCGAGGCAGTCGGTGGTTGGGCATACGCAACACATGTCCCAACCACCTCAACTGATGAAGTGTCACTACTGCGTCTATTTATCTGCCATTTTTACCTAGCACCCCATTTCCTAATAACAGCGTTGCTCACTCGAGTGTCCCAGGATATACGAGCAGTACTTCGAAGACACCTATGATCGAAAACCAGTAACCTACGAATATCTTCTACTCTCACTGGCCTTGTTTCACGGCCATAAAGTAAGACGGAGCGAACTACTGCACAGTACACTCGTCCTTTAGTCAGCAAACGGATATCTCGCCTACGCCATAAGTGACGCAGGTTGGCAAAAGCCAATCGAGCCTTCTCTCATTGACAACAACAATTAATTTACACAAACAAACAAGTTTGTAACAATCAAACAGTAAAAAAAAACCCCAACAAATTACACACACTAATTTTACATGAAATTTTACCTTATATGTGGTAACTTTTTCACCAATTTCACTAATAATTCCAGTACATTCAGAGCCCAAAATAAATGGAGGTTTCATTGTTTGATCAATTAAACCTTGTCTTGTCATGATGTCAAGAAAATTAATGCCACTAAATAAAATTTGAAAATAAAAATTAAACAAAAGTAGAAATGATCAATGTACAATTTTTGTGAAATTTCAATAGAATTTTCGATCTTATAAACAAACCATTTCATTGAAGGGTGTATATGGGGTTCCTCAATAGCGAACTTTCCATGACATCAATGTGCTTGACTTGCAAACATTGTCGGATACTAGATAAAGGGAGTTAAGCGTTCCTAAATGAGATTGAACGTTGCTGATTCTATTTCCACATGTAAGGTCGTGGTTGTGCACTGTTATCTCGTCTCATATTCAGGGAAATCAATCGTCCAATGATGATCGTTTCAGTGATGATCTTGCTAACATCATCTACTTACGCCTATTGACCCTAATGAAGTATAGGTCGCCGACTAGCGCTTTTTTCGACGAGTTGGATTTCTACGGAATGAGGTCGCTAATCCCATGCCCAACCCTCCATTTTTATATGGGTTTGGGCCGACTGAAGTAACCTCAAGAAGGGCTTCGGGAGGAGTTCTAACAAACATTAGTTCGTCATGTATAAAGTCTATGAAACCAGAAAATACTAGTTCGTATGATGTAACAATAAAAAGATACATTGCGGGGTTGTGAAGATTGATAAGTTACACATTTGAAATCATGAATCGACCAATGTTAGACCACCATTAGAAACGTGGAAGCACTAGAAGGATGTTTCGTCCTGGTATGAGACTCATCAGCAGTGCACATCTACGACTCCTGCACTCCGAAGTATTCGAACACAGGACCTTCTGTCTTGTGCGCGAACGTCCAACCTCTAAACCACTGAGCCGGTATCTAACGGTTTTAATGTCTAACTTCGATCAATTCACGGTAATTTCTGTCCACACCCGAATTTCACTGGTCACACAACTTTCCACTAGAACTCGGAGAAGATTCTTCACGAAGCTAGTCACTAGTGAGCACAGGTAAATTGCATTACGGGGTCATATCATAGTTATATCATTTTTAATATCAGACATATTGAGAAATGAATAATCATGTACAAAATATGCAGTTACTTGTTCATGTTCAACCAGCATGAATCGATGATCAATATTAGACCACCATTAGAAACCTGGAAGCACTGAAAGACGGCCCTTTCGTCCTGTTATGGGACTCATCCACATCCACAACTCCTGCACCCCGCAGGATTCGAACCCAGGACTTTCAGTATTGTGCGTGAACACCTAACCTGTTCAGGTGTAGACAGTAACTACTGAAGACTGTGTATGAGGTTGCGCAACTCCATGAATCGATCGAAGTTAGACATTAACACCTTTAGATCTCGGCTCAGTAGTCCAAAAGTTAGACGTTCACGCACACAATACCAAAGGTCCTTGGTTCGAATCATGCGAGGTGCAAGAGTAATTTTATTAATTATTATGACTTAAGCTTGTTACCCTTCATGGAGCAAAAGGCCATCGATCAATAATATTCTATCTGCCCTGTCTTAGGCGTTCCTCTATAGTTCTAGCCAATTGCTGTTCAGTTTTTTCATGCCTGCTTCCAGTTCTCAGAGTAATGTATTCTTTAGTCTACCTCTTTACTTTTAATCTTAAAGATTCCAAATTAGGGGGGCGGTTGGGTGTTTTCCTGAATTGTATCACAAAACAAACACTCACTAGGAATCTTCAAGGTCAAAGTTGAAGAGGAAGACTAAAGTACACATGACTTCCTATTCATCAACCATTGATAAATTGACAAAGAAATCTTTTATACTAAAGTTTGAAGGCTTTATTTGTGAAAATCTCTCCCTTCATGTATACATTTGTAATGTGTTCTTATTGAGATTCCTTCAGTTGTACATTTTGTGTAGTCTGTTCAAATCTATTTTGAGATGATGACAATATTTGCCATTTTATTATAGTTTCTATTTCTTCTGCTTTTATTGAGTTTCTTTCTGAATTGCGATTATGTTGTTTAAGTTGATACTTAGTCATGTCGACAGCCATATTGATTTGTTCCTCTTTTGATTGTGTCGGTTGCATGTTTTGACTGAAATTGTGAATTTTGATTGTGAACTGGAGCACACTTCCAGAATAGGAAACACTCTGTGTTATATAAAGCAACCAAATATTATCTGTCGAATGAATCTGATCTATCCAGGAGGGATAGAATATCATTTAGTTGAATAATTGAACAATTGTTGAAGGAATAACTGAGTGGTAATATTTGTTTAGGTAATGATGTATATTTATATTTATGATGAATATACCAGCACGGAACGGCCGTTCAGTGCTTCCAGGATTCTAATGGTGATGGTCTAACAATGATCGATTCATGGATTCAATAATGTGTAACTTAACAATCTTTATAACCCCGAAATGAGAATATTAGAACCATCATTCACCCAAATCCCTTGTTTTAGTTTTAAACTGGCCAATAGCGTGCATCTAAACTACTTAGACAGTTATTCCTCAATCCAAACCTCAGTTTAGATCTTACAGTTACAAGTGATTGTTTGTTTTTTTCAATTTAATCTCATTGTTATGTAATTGGACAATTAATGTTGAACTATTGATAACTTTGATCAGTTAGTTCAATATTCAATGTTTATATGATCTACTTTCTAGAAATCATATTGTAGCGGGAGCTACTTATAAGTAGTATATGACGTGAGTGTCAACGTTATGTCTGGTGACAGCAGAAGATGGGGGAAGATCAAGAGAAAGGAAGAGTGGGAACACAATGGAATTTGTATGAAACGCATGAATAGTGACAATGGATTGTTGATGTTTTGCAACAGGAACAGTCCAATTCGATATGATGGACTGATATTTTGCAAATTAACCGTTTACGATATGGTTTTCCAATTTTACTGAGTAACTCTGTAATTTTTGTTCAATACAATTCGGTTGCCCCACCTGTGTTCTCCTTCACTACAATATCAATACAAAAATTTTTTTGTTATGAGGATAAGAGTGGCTGATGATGATAAGTCTTACACTAGGATTGATTACTATACAGCTTTAGCTATATGGTAACAGCCAGGATCGAACCCCGTTAGGAAATGATAGAAATATACAATAGATCACTCACATTGATTCACGCTTATGACAGTTATCAATCAAATGTTGCCAAGATAGAGTTAGATGTCTCACAAACAGAGCAAAAATGATCTTTTCAAGAGCTGAAATTTATCAACAACTTGCTGACCAATATTGGTTACTCCAGCACGTTCTTTAAGAAGTACATGTATATATCGTGAAAAAAGAAGTCGAAGAATTCCCAAAACTACAATTCAACGAGGATTTGGCTAATGATACCCAACAGGAGAGATCAACGAAAGTCATTAGTAGGACATTCTACACAGCCAATCTCGCGTCGACTTTCTTAAGTTAACCAGTAATATCTACTCAAACAAAGGTTAAGTTACTTGAATTATAGCCTCCTCAAAGTGCACTTACAAACTCACCTACTTCTGTGCACATAACTATATCAGGTCTACTACCAAAGCTACTTAATCAACGGATAACTGAACATCTCTCAACTAAAAACAACAACACACCACTCTATCTTGTCATATTTTATTGATCGATAGCGATCATAATATATATTTTGGGGCAGAGTTCTGGAGGTTTGTGTTTTTTTAAAACATTTGAAATCATCAATCAATCATTGTTAGACCACCATTAGAAACCCACTAACACTGGACGACCGTTTCGTCCTGGTATGGGACTACTCATCAGTAGCAGTGCGCACTCACAACTACTGCTCCTCGCAGGATTCGAACCCAGTAGTCCGATGGTTAGGCGTTCGCGCACAATACCGAAGGTCCCGGGTTCGAATCCTGTGCGAGGTGCAGGAGTTGTGGATACGCACTGCTACTGATGAGTAGTCCCATACCAGGACGAAACGGCCGTCCAGTGTTAGTGGGTTTCTAATGGTGGTCTAACAATGATGATTTGATCGGATGATTTCAAATGCATAATATATATATATGCATACAAAATGACATATTTATTAATATACGAATTACTTACCATGCTTGTACATCAATAGCTATTTCATTGTTTCCAATCGGTTTCACTTCATTTGTATCCAATCGTATATGTTTTGAACCACCAAATGCACTAAGAGTAATACATTTATACGTTTTAATTTCTTCTTTCTCGGAATTCACATTGGTTTCTGTGGTTGTTGTTGTTGTTGTTGTGGTTTCGCCAGTTTTATTATTCTCTGTTGTCTCCTTGTTTACTTCATCTGTTTCATCAGGCATTCCTCTGATTGTGTAATGATTTAATTTGACACTAATTCCCCAAAGAAGACTATTACTACTACTGCTACTGATTACGTCTACTACAACTACTACTCCTACTACTACTGATAATAAGAATAATATTAATACTATTTGAACTAAACAGATGGTTCCTTATTTATTTATCGATCGATTTGAATAAGATTTCATCACAAACAACTCCTCTCTCTCCCCTCAAATAGATATTCCTATCAGAAATACAAAAAAAAGACAGAAAGATCATCATCGATCCAAACAGAATTCTATGCCCTGATTGGTGTAATTATCATTCTGGCATAAAATGGAATCCATCACCACCACCATTAAAAACCAATCATAATAAGCCTCAGTGAAAATTAACCAATCAGAAAGGTGTTTATAATTCTGAAATATTTTTTTTTAATGGGCATATGTACACATATGTGTATATGACAATGAGAACAACATCTGTGACATGCATTCATGTCATGGACTGAACTCTCTTCAGCAGCCTCAGCCTCATCCTCACCCCGACCCCCAACCACCACCACCAATTTATTTTATTGACCATGAAAGAAAAATTAAGGCGCCCTGAAATAAACGACAATAACAGCATGGATAAAAGAAGAGTAAAAAACAGGAGATAAGAAAACATATGTTTCTTAATTTATTTATTTTGATAATCATTTGAAGTGAGAAAAGTTCGAGGTTATTTTAAATTGTAAAGATAAATGCAGAGAAAGATAAGGCGGATTGGCCTGAATAATAATAATAATAATAATAATAATAATAATAATAATAATGATAATAAAGATTATTTATTAAATTAAAAGAGTCTAATATGTATATTTGTTGTCCCCATGAGTTAAATTGTTTATTTGCTGAGGTTACATGTGGTTTAGTTGTAGAGAACAAAATCATGATGAAGTAGGATTCTTTTTGAAATTATGACATGAAATCATCATTGATAGGCCAGTGTATTAGTAACTTGGAAGCACTGGATGGTCGTTTTGTCCCACCACTATGGGACTCTTCAGAACGAACGCCTAACTTCTGGACCGCTGAGCCGGCCGACATCCAACTGTGTTAATGTCTAACTCTGATCAATTTAGGGATTTTTGGCAACCTCATTCATTGTATTCTGTAAGTAACTGCATACACTCGACAGAGTTGAACTCCATTGGTCACAGATGCGCACTGTTGATGAGTCACATTCTAGTACGAAACGGCCGTCCACGGCTTACAGGTTTTTTAGTGGTGGTATAACAACAACAGAGGTCCAGAGGTTAGTTGTTCGCGCACAAACCCGAAGGTCCCTTGTTCGAATCGTGCGAGGTGCAAGAGTCATAAATGCACACACATTCTCTTTGAAATTATGAGTCAGGCCAGTATTAGGAACCTGGAAGTACTGGATGGTCGTTTAGTCTCACTGTGGGACTCTTCAGCAGTGGGCATCCATGACCTCAGCATTCAAGATTCGAAACAAGGACCTTCAGTATTGCGCACAGATGCCTAACCTCTGAACCACTAAAACCATGCATGTATTGATTAGCTGTTTGTCGCCTACAAAACTCAGTATGCTCACAAGTGCCTAAGTGTGTGAGGAAATTCCCAGAGTTCTGTTGAGAAGTCCCGTCGGGTGCAGACAGTAACTACCGAAGACAAATGAGTGTGATTGCGCAAAATCTTCATATTGATCAATGTAAGACATTAACGCCGTTGGATGCCGTCTGGATGAGTGATTCAGTGGTTGAGCGTTCACGCTCAAGACAGAAGGTACTGGGTTCGAATTTTGCGAGTAGCAGGAGTTGTAGATGCGCACTACCGTTGATGAGTCCCATGCCAAGCCGAGATGGACATCCAGTGCCTCCATGTTCCTCATAATCAAACGAAATTCACATATAAAATGTCAATTAGACGTTTTATATAAATTTGTGAGTAGTAAATACTCTAGTGAACGAGAACACAGGTGGGGCAACCGGATTGTATTTAACAAAAATTACAGAGTTACTCAGTAAAATCGGAACAACATATCGTAAATCGTTAATTTGCAAAATATTATTTCATCATTTCGAACTGGACTGTTCCTGTTGCCGAACATCAATCCATTGTCACTACTATTTATGCTTTTCGTACACAAATCCGATTGTGTTCTAACCCTTCCTTTCTTGATCTTCCCCCCTATCTTCTGTTGCCAGACATTACGTTGACACTCACGTCATATACTACTTTTAAGTAGCTCACACCACAGTACTATTGTGGTTGCAGTGATAGATGATGGCTAGTAAGAATAGTACGTTCAGTTTTACTTAGCACTCGTCAGTTGGATATACCTGCATCTTGAAGTTGGTGTTTATTCTGGAACTCGAACCTAGTACTGTCCAAATGTTTAAACGTATTTAGAAGAAAACTGTTCTTCCTTTTCGTTAATGTTCAGTGGTCGACATTTGAATTCAACAAGCCCAAAAGGTTTGCTTTCAAGAGAGGTAGCTGAGTTAGATATCGCGGTCAAATGTTCGAAGCACGCAGTTGTTCAAGATGTGGTTTTTGAGATGGTGGAGAAAATTTGTAGCTCAGGTGGATGATTGTGGTGGTGGTGTTTGGTTCTCTGAGCTGGATGTTTCGGTTGCGGAGCTTATTATTGTTCTTCTTCTGAACAACATCATCAGCACAAACTTCAGATAGCAGAAGTGAAGTATTCGAATTTCTCCACGTTTGACCTGTAGCTCTTGTTCTGCTAACCTCGATCTTGATTGGTTGCTGTTATTGACCTTAAACCTGTCGTTGTTTACACCTTTGATTTGATTGTATCCCCCTTTTGATCTGCTTCTTGATCCAATGTTTGTCTATGATTTTTCTGATTGATTGATAAATTGGGTCAATATCGATGTGTTTGTGTGATTGCTGATTGACCTGATTGCCAAGCTTCTAAAAATTCCCTAGTGTTGTTTGTCCTACCCACCTATCCAGTATTTCCACATTGTTCCAATCGAATGTGTGTCCATAATTGTCCGTGTGTATTGATATAAGCGAAGCGTTGTTATGGCGTGTGACTGTTAATTGGTGTTCACGTAAACGAATCTGAAGAGGCCGTCCACTTTGTCCTTTGTAGCGTTTTTCACAGTCTGAGCAGTTATTTATTTTGTAGATGGGATATTTGGTGTTTCTTCCATTGTCATTTTGTCCTTTGGTGTCTACATAGGACTGGTCAAGGTTAGCAGAACAAGCTACAAGTGAAACGTGGAGGAGCAATTCGAATGCTTCACTTCTATCTGTAGTTTGTGCTGATGATGTTGTTCAGAAGAAGAACAATGATGGAAGCTCCACAACCAAAACATCCAGCTCAGAGATGTGGTTTTTTTCCAGAGAAAACGACACACATCTTATCAGTTGATACAACACAATCATTGAAAATACTGTTTGGTCTAAGCATGTGTCTTTTATATGAAATTGAAGCCAGCAGTATATCCACCTTGACAAACTCAATATTTATACGTATAAGATATCTATCTGTGTAATCATTCTCATCAGACCGCCGTTTCGTCCTAATATGGGACTCATCAGCAGTAAGCATCCACGGACCTCGCACTAAAAAATCTAACATGGGACCTCCAGTCTTGTGCACGAATGCTTAACATCTAGACCACTGAGCCGATCGGCATCCAACAGTGTTAATGCCTGAAAAATTGTTTTCATAACCGATAACTTCGATGACATCATGACCGAATTGGCTACTATTACATCATATCATCATATACAGAGACTGGATCAATAGTTTATACCAGATGTACGGTTCACAATCGAAAACTAGAAAATGAACTATGGAAAAGATAAGATCATTGTTTTTTAATTAAAAACAACTCCAAGTAGTCGATTATCTCGTGATAATATGCTCGTCACTTGATATGCTTGAATGCTACTCGTACGAATTAACTCTGCCTGTAGACCCTTCGAGGCTACTGCCGGTCCCAAGCCAGGGTAAAGGAGGAGAGTTGGGGATCGGGTTGGCGACCCCATCCCATCCAAAAAAAACGCTAACCAGAAGATTCCAGTGGAGTAGGAAATCAGGAAGAAGCTCTGGAAGTGGATAGGACACACATTACGAAAAGCACCTAACTGCGTCACGAGACAAGTCCTCACATGTAACCCTCAAGGCAAAAGGAAAAGAGGAAGGTCAAGGAACACATTACCCCGAGAAATAGAGAAAGATATGAGAGGAATGAACGAAAATTCGACAGAACTAGAAACGGAAACCCAGGACAGAGTTGGTTGGAGAAAACTGATGTCCGGCTTATGCTCCATTGGGGGTAACTTGCGTAAGTAGTAGTAGTATTAGTAAGTAAGCACCTACATATTAACATTCACAATCATAATTGAAAATTTACTCTTCAATTTAAACAAGTTCACATTTGAAATAATTGTTTTTAATAACACTGTCAGTAGTAGTTAACAGAGGATTGACCTTAACAAAAACAACATGTTATAGTTAGTAGTAGGCTAGTGCTTGCCCATAAAAACTAGCTACTGTGATATTATAGTGTTGAAATTTTAACTTGAACTATGAATATATTTTATTCACCTGTCTAATTGACGACGGTCATCATTGAAAGTGAGTGAAACTTCCGGTAATTAAATAAATTCGAAAGTGAATAGATCAAACACAATTTGAATTGTCTATAATTAGTTTTGTTTTAAATATATATATATATATATATATATATATATATATATATATAAATGTAAGTAAAGTATCATTTATGTTCAATTCTGTATTGAACATATAATGTGAAATGTAACAACTTTTTGTAGGATACATTAGATTCGAAATGGGGCTCATCATTTTAGTAGCCAGTGTGATATGACTCCATGTTAACGAAATAAATCTCTTCTCATTCAGTTTCTGAATATCATACTTAGGTGAACACCATTTATAAGATGACAGTAGTAAGAAGTCAAAAATACATTCGGTTGGATGAGTTTATTTCATTACAGGGGTTGTGAAGATTGGTAAGTTACACATTTTTTTTGAAACCATGAATCGATCAATGTTAAACCGTCACCATTAGAAACCTGGAAGCACTGAAAGACGGCCGTTTCGTCCTTGTTTGGGACTCCTCAGCAGTGCGCATCCACGACTCCTGCACCTAGGAGGATACGAACTCAGGACCTTCGGTTTTGTGTGCGAACGCCCTAACCGTTAGA